AATAGAGCTCTTTAAATGTTGGTACTTCCTAGTTCAACCCAGTTGGAGTCGGGTGGAGAGTTTGCAGCTCCAGTCGTTTGGGAAACAGGAAAATCCCGATATGATCCAGAGCTCTTCCGAGTATTGGGGATTATGACATCTTCCACCTCTGAGTGGAACTCTGACGGACTCCACTCATGTGAAGTCCACTCGTGAGGTGAACTGTTGTTGATGAAGTCCCGCCACCACTCCAGACGGTTCTCTGCCATCCTACGGAGACGCTGGACCGGTAGCGTAACTGGAGCTCCGCTTCCACTGATTCATCGTCAGAGAGGTAATGAGTCGAGTTCACTACCGAGCGTACCGAGGAAAGCTGGGTCGAATGGAGGGTGTCGTTCTGTTCAACACTTTTCAATCACACACACACCATCTCCCTCCCTCTAAACTTCAATCTTTAAACTCTTCTATCTGCTAAGAAATTAATCCAGATATTTTTAGAAATGTCTGAAGCAAAGTTTTTCAACCACCGCCGTGTGGTTAATGTCTGTTTGTAGCTGGAAGCAAGGTTTTCAACCATCGCCGTATGGTCTTCCTTGTAAAACTTGCTAAATAAGCTGTCGTTATTTTCAATTTTTGCCAATTAATGTAAATGTGTGATGTGTTAAACTTGATTCTGTTAATAAATGACCCACTGTCGTTGGTGAGTCAAAGATAATTAACGTTTCCGTCCACATTTTATTAAATTCAATGCACGTCATTATACAGTCCAGAAAAATGAAAGAATCCGTTTAATTTATGAATATATATCAGTATATGTTCATTCTACATCTGTTTCTACGCGTCATGTATCGAAACGTTTGGCTCCTTCAGGACGCTCCAGCTGTGACCTGTGGTATTTGTGCCGTTCTTACTTTTTGAAATATTTTGCTTTGTCGGCCATTTTTTTCCTCATTGAAAATGAATGGAGCTCTATTCACGTCCTCCGTGCTGTTTAAAACTTTCCCTGCTTGTTTTCATTCTGCTTTAGCTGTTTTTAACCACTTTCTGCTCATTCCATTTCTTTGTTGCTAATTTCAGATTGTTTGTTTCCGCTTTTCCTACACATCTCTGCTGTTTTTGTCTTCTGCTGGCTGCGTTCCTTTTTCAGCAAACGTCAGCTGTTTAAACATTAACAGTTTAGCCACGAAACATTTCAGCTGGTTTCAGCTTCTTCTGCAGATTTCATCCAAAACCATGCAGTAAGTGTTCCCACTGCGTTTGCTCAGGATATTCAATTCCTCTGTTTCAGTTTTAGGAGAGTGTTTACAGATGCCGTGTGTTCAAGCCCCCCCTGTGTGTTTGTTCACTTTACAGCTCTGTCAGTGTGGCTGTCTTTGTCCGCCTCTCCACGGCTGCCTCCACACACATCATAAAGACGTCAGAGGCCGAGGCTGAGCTGCAGCTAAAGTGGCATTAAAAGCTGCAGCGGTGACTCACTTCGTATACGTAAAACAAAGACAAGAAGCTGTTCTGAGGGACGTGACGCTTGTGTTTCTGCACCACGTTTGCTTTAAAAGGACCAAACGTTCGCTGAGCCAGAGAAGGTCTGAGTGCAGGTCACGCTGTAAAAGCTGCTTTTATTTAGTACTTTTCTCTTGGAGTCACCACAAACAGAAAACTCATGAAAGATATGGTTTTACACCAGATGTCCTTTCTGGGCTCGAACCTGCAGCCTCAGGATTATGAGACCGCAGCACTGACCACCGAGCTACCTCTACCATATCAACACAACGAAGCTTTGAACAACGGTTTGAGTCCCAGGAGTGTCTTCTTTGCGAAACATCACTGTCAATCCAATATTTTACTCCTGATCTCTTTGGTTTCTCCTCCATCTTGGAGTTTTTTTGTTTGTTTTGCTGTGATTTGATCCGCAGTGATGCAGGTCTACGTAAAAGTTGCGTTAATCAGACATTCTCGCTCACAGACATCAGCTGCTCCTCCTTTAATCTTCTGATTTAGAAATGAACTCATCACAAGAGGAGCTGCACTTTTTCTTGTTTCTCTCATGTTTTCTCTCCTCATCACAGTTTATAGCGACTGTTTCCCCTTGCCCCTGAAGTAACAAACTTTCTGCTGAAGAGATGAATGCTGCTGGTCATTTTTAAATTATATAATATGAAGAAATTCAAGAGAGCTGATTTAAAATGAACTTGTTTCATGGGGAAATAGTTTTATGAGGCAGATTGATGAGGAAAACAGAAAAATCTCATGTTTGAGCAGGAAAAACATTTAAATTGTTTTTTCTTATTTGTTCTGTTTTCAGGTGTTTTTTATTTATTTATCTTATTTGCTGTAAATATTTCAGATCTGTTTTTTTGTTTGTTTTTTTTTTACAATAAAAACTGAGCAAAAAGACGCAGCTAAAAACAAACATGCGACTCTTTTGCGCAGATCTGTTAAAAGTCTTTGCGGGTTTTATTAAACTGGTCTCCGTGACAGCACGCGCACGTGCGCTATCACATGCCATTCGTTGCCGGAGCACGTGCAGCGCAATAAACCTGTCGCGTGAGCGCTTTGCATCAGAGGAACCGCGTCATCAGGAGCTCGCAGCGCAGCGCGCGTCAATGAAACCAAACGGAACCGGGTTTTATGAGCCAGCTATGAGACCGGAGGGGGTTATAAAGGGGGACCGTGACGAAAATGCGCTTCCGGTTTGCTCTTATTGTGAAAGTAAGCCTCATATTTCCTCCGCTCATCACTAATTTCAGAATAACGCAGCTGAATGAGCTGCTGCGCCACTGCCACCCCCCCGCTGCGCGTGCATACACCTGTCCTAAACGAACAGGTGAAGCATGCAGAGGTGGTGAAGGGTGGTGGTGGTGGGTTCTCACAGCCCATGGTCTCGTTTTGGACCGGGGATTTTCGGGTTGCGCGGTTTTTGCGGCACTTTTGCGGCAGATTTGCGCTCGTTGCCCTTATAAGGAAAGCCATTCCGTGCCGGTCCGTGATAGGCCGAGCGCTGCAGCCGCAGGTTAACCCTTTCACCGTTGAATTTTATTTATCTGGCAACAACGTGAGCCCGCCGCGGTCACGGTTTATTTGTTAGGACGGCACTGTTTACATCTTTAAACAACAACAAATAAACAAACAGTGGCGGGAAATGTGAACAAATTGGTGTATCTTCTTCTTTTTATTTATTTATTTTTTTTTTACCTTTTTTCTGGTTTCCCAGAAATGCGAGCTGCTGTGTCCAGCTAACGCAGGTTCTGTTGCCTGGACCGGACCGGGTCTGTGCCGGTCCACTGGAAGCAGCTGCTGTCTGTCCAGACTGAGGAAGATGATGACTTCCGCTCGGTGAACCCGCGACAGTCCATCAAGTCGCGCCCCTGTGTGACCTTGACTCTGAGGACCCGTGGACCTTCCATGCACGGACTCGTGCAGAATCATGATGGTGCACAGGTTCTTGCACCCTGATCACTGGAGGCCTCTTGGCCTTGACCCGCACCGGGCCTGTGGTGAACTGAATGGATCCAATACTAGAACTCATAAAAACCATCTTCAGGTTTTAAAAAGTACATTTTGCAGAAGTGAATCAGAAGAACTCGGTGTGTTGATGTGATGTAAGTCTAAATACCGGATCCAAGGCCCTGCCAAGCTGCTAAATCCGGCTGGGTGAGCAGAACATTCAGGCCAGTTTAAGAATAAAACCGTCACCATTCACTGCCATCCAGCCCGGAGCGCGTGCTGCGTTCAGGGTCCTCCGTTAGCTCGGCACAGCCATGTGTTTGGTTCATGCAGGGAGCCAGAGGTTCGGTTAGTTTGGGTTTATTGGCTTTTCATTGGATCAGATTTGCAGCTTTGATCACCAAGAGACAATAAAGCATTAAAGTAAAGATGTTGCTCCTTAAATTACGCGCTGGGGACAGTAACCGACTACCACACCGAATTTTAGCTCAATGTCTTTAAAAGTGACTCATTCCATATTTGTGAAGTGAGCCATGTTGTCACGATGTAACTGGACTGGACTTTAAGCATGTGCAGCACAATTTAAATCTGGATTTTATTTAATTTTGCTCAGTTCTTTATCTATTTAGACAACAACAGATTCCATCTATGGTCGGCTGGAGCCTTTCTGCACCAGTCACTGCAAGAGGCAGGGGACATCCTGGACATGTCCATCACAGGGTGAGACAACCTGTCACACTGCACCTAGCGACAACTTAGTTACCATTTAGCCCAACATGCATGCTTTTGTAGAGTCCAGTCATACTACGCAAACTGAAAGGTCAAACTTCAACATAGAGAACACACAGAACAAAGTCACAAAACAGAACCTATCCAACACAAAGAACATTTCAAATGGGCGAAACGGAACAAAAACAACTTTTAATATGAGCTGAAACGTGTTGGCAACATTAACGTGTAAAAGTTAGAAATTATGAAGCAAACTGGTCACAACAGGGGTGCAACTGGGAGGAGGGAGGGCAACGGTCATTCCCATAATTCAGTCCAACATCCACATTTAAGCAGGGTTTTCAGAGTGCAACCCCAGATTATAATTGGCCCCCAACTGCACACCCTGTTGAAAACTTCATGGAAGGGCCCCTGGGCACCAATCAGCTGTACTCAGACAGAAACCAACAAAATAAATTATATATAACATGAATATATGTGCACAAATGAAGAGGTGACCAGTTGCATATTTGCAACAAACTTACAGGCAGCTTTATGTCTGGTGCAAATGTCTTCCAAGAGAATGGGTTTTAAAGGATAAAGTTGAGTAAATATCACAGTCTTAAAGACAATAAAATAATAATAAGCCCGGTTTAAGACTAAACTAATAAAGATGTCATGCATATAATGTGTACAATTTGTTCATAAATGGTTAAAATCAGTTTGAGGGGAGAAAATGACGTCTTGACCGCTGCTTTCAGAGCTGTCTTTCAGTTTTACAGACAGCCCCTGAAGGCAGCATGACACGGAACCACGCCCCCATCACCTCCCTCCCCTCGGCGTGACGTCACACACGGCTCTTTGCGTGAAGTGTTTTCAGGCTGCAGAGAGAGAGGAGAGAGGATCTCCGAGGGAAGAGGCGCAGCAGAGGAACCAGGAGGGGGAGGAGGAGGTGCGGAGGGTCTCCAACACCAGGGAAGGAGCAGGAAAACCAGGAGGAGCACATCTGAGAGAAGGAGCAGGTGGATTACCCTCTCCCACGGTGGAAAATGGAGCTACCCGCCGCGGGAGAGCACGTCTTCGCGGTGGAGAGCATCGAGAAGAAGCGCAGCCGAAAGGTTGGTCTGCACGCGTGCATGAGTGTGTGTGTGTGGGGGGGGGGGGGGGGTTCTCCTCTGCCCCCACTCTCAGAACGGATCACTTCGATGGGATTATATTTACCAATACAAATGTGTTTTTCTGCGGTGTGCGCGCGCAGTGACGTGCTGTGTGTTTGCTCCGCAGGGGAGGGTCGAGTATCTGGTCAAGTGGAGAGGATGGTCTCCGAGGTGAGTCCCGCACGCACACGCACGAGCCCAGCTTCAGAGATGAAGCACACCATTGACGACACACGAGAGAGAGAGAGGGGCCTCTGCGAGGCGATCCGGGGTGCGTGGGCGCGTGTACGGGCGCCTGCGCGCCTCTGCACGCGCGCACGTGATGGATGTGGTTTTAGGATGTTTGCACACAAAGAACAACACGGAGACTTTAGGAAGCAAGTGAGTCCTCCTCCTGCTGCAGCGCGTGAAAGTAAGGCACTGGAGAGGGACAAGTGTCCGCTGGGGAGGGACACGTGTCCCTGTGTCTTTCCACATGTAAAGGCCACAGGATGAGGACTTGCTGTGGAAGTTACAGACATGGACGGGGGACAGGGACACCTTCAAGCTTGTCTCTAACTGTGCTGTCTCCTGTGTGGACAGGTACAACACGTGGGAGCCAGAGGAGAACATCCTGGACCCCAGGCTGCTCGATGCTTTCCAGGACAGGTGGGTTAGCTTCACCTGGCGTCACTCAGGAACTTGTATTCCTGGATGATCCCTGCTGCTTCCTGTGTCAGTCCAAAGTGCTGACAGTCGCTCTCCGAGTTTATTTTAGGCTCGAACCCTCCCACGAGTCATCGGGACATTTTGAAGGAGCGATAAAAGGAGACGTCCGCACAAAACAGGAACAGACGTTTTATTTGGAAGTCAGAAGTTTTTTTTAATAAAACAGCATGTTACTCGTTTTTCAATCATTTTAAACTCTTTTTTTTTTCATAAATAATCCATCATCATCTGGTTAACGTGTTTACTCTTTAACATTTATGGTCACGGCAACGCAGCTTAAAGAATCTGAGATTAAATAATGATTTTAAACTCTTTAAAGTAGTCTTTTCAAAACATATGTTTTAAAGTAAACACGTCAGCGTTTTACTGACCGCCTGTCGAAGTGGATGCTTTCCTGTTAAACCTGGATGTGTTGCTCCACTCCCATCTTGTTTGCTCTTCATCTTCATTCTCTGGTCACAGTCCTCAGTGCACCCGCTCCAGATGTTATCAACCATTAAATGACCGTTATTAGTTGTTATCATCCCCATACGTAGCGTTCAGACTGCCCCTCCTCTACCTCCTAGTAGGTTTAAAAGTATGTTATTATCGCTGATACTCAAGGGTAAGGGGGTTAAGTTTAGGGTCAGTGGTCGGGTTTAGGAAAAGGCTTACATAAAGCTAGCTAAAATACACTTACAGTTTTACATGTGAGCCGCGATTATTATTATTATCAACCATAAAAACTTAACTTTAAACCTACTAGGAGGTGAATAGTCTGAACGCTACCTGTGGGGATGATAACAACTAATAACGTCCAGTTAATGGACTGATAACATCCGAAGCCGCTGCTCAGATTCACGCTTGTGCTTATTTAACCAGTTGTTTCTCATGAGTCAGACGACATCGCCGGCTCCGTCAGAGAAAGATGGGTTGGTCTGTTTAAATCAGACGTACAGAGAGAAGGTCGGACTCGAGTTACATCATTCTGCTGCCTGACGCTCAAACTCACAGCTCTGATGTAACGGAGATGCAAGAGGACAGCTACACTTACAGCAAGCCACGCATGACTAAATGATGTTCAGGAAATTTAAATTTCACAGCACAATTAAAGGCCTGAGGGGCTTGTTTCCTGTTCTTGAGTTGAAAGGATGAGGCTGAACTGGAGAAGTTGGAGAATTTCTCCACGGTGCGAAACGGTCTCGGGCCTCCCTCAGCCTTCACTCGCGTGCAACCCCGTTTTTACAGTTATCTCCCATCTCTTTCTTAAAAGAGGGGTTATTTTACTCAAAGTAGTCGCTCGTCTCCGTGGAGCCGAAGGGTCTGAATGCCCGGCTGTCGTTGTAATTAGATGTGAGGGGAGGACTCATCACTCCTGTCTGCGGTGTTCGGTTACTGGACTCGCAAAGAAGAGAGGAAACGCTCGGGAGACCCTCTTCAGCCAGACTAGGTGTTTCAGCGCATCTTTGTTTCTGTGGACAGAGGAGGAAGGATGAGGATGACGAGGAAGTGTCACACCAAATTAAAACGTGGGCTTTCCCCGTCGAGTCTGAGGAGGACACCGGTGACGTTGCGTTGCTATGCAACGGTGTCCTGTCTCTGCGAGACGGTTCGCTGATGGTCTGCCTGTTTCTGCTCCTGCAGGGAACGTCAGGAGCAGCTGATGGGGTTCCGCAAGAGAGGACCCAAACCAAAGCACCTGCTCGTCCAGGTAAGGACAATTGTTTTTTCTAGAAAGACGTGTTTTGTTGAGATCATCACGTCACAGTGAACTGAGGGTGAGGCAGCACGGTGGCACAGCTGGTAGAGCTGCTGCCTCTCAGCGAGCAGGTCCCTGGTTCAAATCCCGGTCCGTGGGTCTCTCTGGGTGGAGTTTGCATGTTCTCTCCGTGCTGCGTGGGTTTTCTCCGGGTACTACAGTTTCCTCCCACAGACCAAAAACATGCATGTTAGACTGATTGGTAACTCTAAATTGTCCCTAGGTGAGAGAGAGAGTGAATGGATGTTTGTCTCTATGTGTCTCTGTGGATGGACTGGAGACCTGTCCAGGGTGTCCCCCGCCTCTCACACAGTGATGGTTGAACATGGGTACCAGTGACCCCCGCGACACAAATCTGGAAGAAGCGGGTAAAGATAATGAATGGATGTCTGAGGATGGGAACCAGTAGATGTCAGATTCATTCCAGTTCAGCTCTGAATCAAATTAGAATCCGGTTCAGTTTAAGAAACGGTAAAGTTCTGGTTTCAGGCTTCAAGCACAGCCGTCAAACTTTACGATGCAGCTTCCCACCTGCTTGTGCTGTTTCCTACTGGACAAGATGACGGAGACACCCACCGTCTCCGGAAAGTCTCACGACCTTCACGGTGATTCACATCTTCCTCGGGCCCAGATGCTTGCAGCCCCATCACTTGACTATCAAACTTTTTTTTATTTAATGCGACAAAATCTCTTGAAATGTACATAAAGTCATCTCCAACCCATTTTCAGAGCTCTTTGTGTTTTGACATGATTTAGCAACGACAACAAAAACACGTAAATGTTCATTTTATTGCATTTTTGAGGCTGCTGCTTCCTGAACGTACATTCATTTGATCAGTCAAGAGCCTAAAAAGGCCAAAGGATCCCCTCAGAGGAGCATCTTTGTTCCTCTCGGGGGAGGGGGGGGGTTTGGTAACACATGGGATAAAGTCAGTGACGACACTCAAAGCGGTCAGGGACATTCCTGTGAGCTGAGGTCACAGCCACAGGAGACACTTTGAAATGTCACTCTGATCACGGCTGGAGATCCGCAGGAGGCCCCGTGTGAACACGGCCCCTGAAATAAACTGAGTGCTCATCTGGGCCTCACAGGAGCCCGGTCACACATTCCAGCGGGCCCCATGAAAGCCCCCCGACTCAGACGTGTATGGATACTGTAGGCAGATGATCATCAGTCAGTTCTTTTTGTTTTCTCAAGCCTGATCCAGTTCTGTTAGAATCAGAGCTTGCACAATTACAGGATTTTCCGGAGTTTAAGTCGCATGTCAAAAAAGCATCATGAAGAGGTAAAAACATATAAGTCGCATTTATTATGTGTTTTATTTGATAGTCAAAACAACTTCATTTTGCCTGCGCAGCGCCATCCATCCATCCATCACGGCCGGAGCTGCTAGCTTTTTTTTCATTCAACCTTTATTTATTCAAATAAATCACATTGAGCCTTGAAGACTCATTTACAAGTGAGACCTGTTCCTCCGCCTGCACCAGCTGAGTGGCGCGAGCATGCACGGGAGGACTCGCTGTTGCAGTTCTTCGAAATTTAAAGTGTCGGACAAAAATTGCGTTTTAATAATTGGGAAAAATATGTATATGAGTCGCAGGACGGACAAGTCTATGCAAAAAGCTGCGACTTATACGTTGGAAAAATACAGTAACGCTATTTCCTTTCTGTGCAGGTGCCATCTTTTGCCAGGAGGTCCAACGTTCTGGCTGATCTTCAGGAGGAAGACGACGGCTGTCAGAAGTCTGGCCCCATCCAGATGCTTCGTCCCCAGGCCCAACAGTACCAGCTGAACAGCAAGAAGCACCACCAGTACCAGCCACTGTGCCGTGAGCGAGAGGCCGAGCAGCAGGCCAACGGCAAGAAGTTGTACTATCAGCTCAACAGCAAGAAGCACCACCACTACCAGCCGGACCTCAAGGTGCACGAGCCCGCGTTCGCCAAACCCCGAGAGGTCAAAGCTCCAGAGCTGGATAACAAAAGCTACAACCTGCCGCCGGTGCTGCAGCAGAAGTGGGTGCGGGACAAAGACTCTGGCTGCCTCACTAAAGTGAAGGACATCACCATGGAGCTGAAGAAGCTCCCAGCAAACCTTAACGGGCACAAAGAGCCGGAGACGGTCAAGACTAAAGAGGACGCTTCGGCTCAGGCCAACGGCGTCGGTGGCAGCAAGCTGAAGATCGTCAAGAACAAAAACAAGAACGGGCGTATTGTTATCGTCATGAGCAAGTACATGGAGAACGGCATGCAGGCGGCGAAAAGTAAAAACGGCAGCCCTGAAGCTGCCGAGAGGTCACCGCAAGGAATGGAGAAGCACCTCACCAAGATGAAGCTCGTCAAAAAGCTCGGCCTCGTAAATGCGTTCGCCAAACGTCCCGCAGACAAACCTGCTGTTCTGAGCTCTGGGTTAAACGGAGACTCGCCCAAAATTAAGGAACAGCCCCAGAGTGAGCAGACTAAACAAGACGAACATGATGAGGTCAGGGACGGGGAGCAACCTCCAGAGGCTCAGCCGTTACAGCTGACCAGCAAACCCAACCTGCCGTCATCCGAAGACAGAGGAAGTCCAGCAGGATCTCATGGACCAAAGCGACCGTTCTCTGACACCGAGAGCGAGGAACGTGGCGGTGGCAAGAGGTTTTTGAGTTGCAGCGGCTCCGCCGTGGTTTCCTCGCCCTCCCAAAGTGTCAGCGTTGACCAAAACGGACACCAGAGTCCCGCAGGACTGCCGGACTGCGGCTACGCAGAGCAGGAGGAGCCCATGGACCTGAGCATCGTCAAGTGCAGGCCGTCGCATTGCTCCGCGACACAAGCAGAGGCGCCGACTCTTCCACACACCGAGACACAAACACAGACGCACACACACACAGAACCTCGGACGGAAACACACGAACCCCCGAAGGATTCTGTTTTGAAGCACAAAGCGAGAAAAGACGACTCTTTTCCGTCTTTTCAGCCTTTCCTGGGGAACATCGTCATCACGGACATCACTGCAAACTGCCTCACCGTTACCTTTAAGGAATACGTCGCAGCGTAACGACAGCTGGAGGACGTCCGTCTTTGTACTTTGGGATGCTTGAATGTACAACTGAAGCTTTGGTGTTTTCATTTTTAAAGCTAAGATCTTGTTTTTTTTATTTTAAAGTACTCCTTTATAACAAAATTTGCATATTTCTACATTATGAACCCAACGTGTTTAAATATTTGTGAAGATTTTAACCAATGCTGTATTTAATTTAACTTTTTCTAACTTAGTTCAAACATTAGTGTTGGGTTAAATACAACCTTAACCACATAAAGTAGAGTAAAATGTAAATAAAAACAGAACGCTATGATTTGCTAATCTCATAAACGCATATTCACAACGTAACATCGTAAACGTTAACTAAAAAAACATGCTTTTTTGTAAAGTGGTCATTTTCGTATTGAAGGCAGCAGCATGTCTATGAAAAAACACTTCCACAGATCATTATCAGTAAATTAATTTCACTGTGCCGTCCAGAAAGCTGCGTAAAGCTCTATCAGGCAAACAAAAAAACAAGCGTGAACGCCATCCAGAACCCCTGCCGTCGTCTCTGGACCAAAGCTCGTTTCAAATGGACTGAGGTGAAGTCCAAAACTGTTCTTTGGTCAGAAAAATCCATCCAACCTTTATTTTTACCCACTTCTTCCTTGTTGGGTCGTGGGGGCTGCTGGTGCCCATGACCAGCAGTCACTGCGCGAGAGACGGGGGGACACCCTGGACAGGTCTCCAGTCCATCACAGGGACAGATAGCGACAAACAACCATTCACTCTGTCACACTTAGGGACAATTTAGTCACCATTTTGGTCTGTGGAAGGAAACCACTGGAGAAAACCCACGCATGCACAGAGAGAACATGCAAACTCCACCCAGAAAGCCCCCCCAGCCGGGATTTGAACCGGCAACCTGCTTGCTGCACTACCAACGGTGCCACCGTGCTGCCCGTCAGAAAAATCCCATTTTGAAATTATTTTTGTAAATCATAAACACCAAATACTATGTACTAAAAAGGAAAGGGACAATTTGGCCTGTTAGTTCAAAAGCCTGCCTCGCTGGTAGTATGGGGGTGCATTAGTACCTCATGAGCAGATAACACATCTGGAAAGATACCATCAATGCGGGGAAGTAGAGGTTTTAGAACATTTGTTCCCATCCTGGACTGTTGAACAGTAGATTTCTCCATCCAAGCTTCTTTGTTGTCATTCACATCACATGTGGTACATGAGGTGGAACGAAATTGTGAACTCAAGGTCACAGTTACACCCAAAAATAGAAAAAGTATAAAGTATAAAAAGAACCAGTAAGATATACGCTAAAACGGGGGTGTCAAACCCACTTACAAAAGGGGGCCAAAATTAAAACCTTTTTCAAACTAAGGGCCGGTTTCAGAATGAACTCAAATCAGATACCCAACTTCTTTCTTGGTTGCAGTTTCCTCCACAAGAGTTTGATTGGTCTCATTTGAAGTTCTCTGTTGCACTTTTGACATCGTAATCAAAGATTACTGAAAAAAAATTAAAGCGATAAAAGTATTTTACATTTAAAATAACATCTTGGGGGGCCAGATAAGATGTCGGCGAGGGCCACATTTGGCCCCCGGGCCTTGAATTTGACGCATGCGCGCTAAAAGATCTGCTAAAGACTAATAATGTAAAATGTCCGTGAGACCAGAACGGGACCACAGTCCCTCCAAAAACGACATCTGGTCTCCTCGGGACGTCTACAGGCTGCTGGTAAACAAAAAGGACACGCTTCACGCAGGGAAACAGATGTGTTACAGATGTGTTGCTGCCATAAAATTCAAAATTGCCTCACGTTTTCATAAAAATGTTCCGATTTCGTAGCTTCCGTTTATAATCTGTTGTGAACAGAATATCCGTCATGAGATTTGCCAGTCGTTGCGTTTTGTTTTGGACAACGGCCCATCGTTTTGGGACGTGTGGTTGCCTTTGAAGGATGCACTTGCCTTTGCAGATAGAATCACTTTTCTGTGGATGAAATCTGATTTACACTCAGCAGAAAGTGTCAGTGGCTGTAAAGAAGAAAGTTATATTGAGTCGTGGTAACTTACACTGTGTCGGAATATGTGTGTGTGTGTTTTAACCGATACGAGAACACGAGCTGCTCGGTGCCTCCGGGCGTGCTCAGACAGGCAGATTAAAACACGAAGCACCTTTCCTGTTCATAAATAGAACTGGTGTTGTGGGAACAGATGAGCAGAGCAGTGGAAGATCGTTTAGATGAATGCGTCTGCTCAGTACGTTTAATCCGGTAAACATCCACACGAGAACACGTTCCAGTCACATCTGTTTCCACCGAGGCACCGGCCGTGAGAACCGAGCGGCACATTTTGCAAATTAGCAGCTTTTCAAGTACAAAAAGCACATTTCTTAAACAGGTTTCTGATCCGAGGAGCATCGATCTGCTCAGTGACAACAGGATTCTGTGCAGATCAAAAAGTGGAAATAAAAAAAAACATTTTGCAATAATAAAACTGTTTGCAAGAGAACAAGTTTGGTTTGTTTCCTTCGATGCTTCAAATAGAATAAAGGGTGCAGATCTGGAACACTTCACATGATGATAAGTCCAGATGTGGTTCTGTTTGTGGTCGTTTATCTGCTAATTCAAGTTCAAGTCAAGTTTATTCTCACTTGCATCACGTTGGGAACACAATTATGTAGTCAAAGTCCCAGTTACACCCAATAATAGCAAAAATATAACGTATAGTAAGAAACGGTAAATAAGGATGTAAGATATACGCTAAACACTAATAATGTAAAACAATATGGCGTAACAACAGCAGCCCAAACATGAGTCTGTGTGAGCAGAAGGGGATGAATGAATACAGCAGCATGAGATCAGCAGCATGAGATCAGCAGCACAGATAATTCACATATCACCCATTAAAGTGGCATTACAGTTTTCACAGTGATTATCCTGTTAGGGGTTTATGAGTCTTAACAGCTTCAGGGTAGAAGATGTTCTTTCTGTTTACTGGTGCCAGACCCATTCTGGGCCAGACCCAGTGGAGTGAATGCACTTAACCCCGATAGAACTGAGCAAAAACAAAAGAAACCGTTTACTGCAATCAAATGATTCCTGTGTCCCTCTGAGACTTCTGCACCTGTCCACAGATGTTCTGATCCACCTGTCCACAGGTGTTTAGGTCCACCTGTCCACAGGTGTTCAGGTCTGTCTTTCCACAGGTGTTCTGGTCCACCTGTCCAAATGTGTTCTGGTCCGCCTGTCTACAGGTGTTCTGGTTTATCTGTCCACAGGTGTTCTGGTCCATCTGCCCACAGGTGTTCTGGGACACCTGTCCACAGGTGTTCTGGTCCACCTGTCCACAGGTGTTCTGGTCCATCTGTCCACAGGTGTTCTGGTCCACCTGTCCAAATGTGTTCTGGTCTGCCTGTCTACAGGTGTTCTGGTTCATCTGTCCACAGGTGTTCTGGTCCATCTGTCTACAGGTGTTCTGGTCCATCTGTCTACAGGTGTTCTGGTCCATCTGTCTACAGGTGTTCTGGTCCACCTGTCCAAATGTATTCTGGTCCACCTATCTACAGGTGTTCTGGTCCATCTGTTCACAGGTGTTCTGGTCCATCTGCCCACAGGTGTTCTGGGTCACCTGTCCACAGGTGTTCTGGTCCACCTGTCCACAGGTGTTCTGGTCCATCTGTCCACAGGTGTTCTGATCCATCTGTCCACAGGTGTTCTAGTCCATCTGTCTACAGGTGTTCTGGTCCATCTGTCCACAGGTGTTCTAGTCCATCTGTCTACAGGTGTTCTGGTCCATCTGTCCACAGGTGTTCTA